TGTGCTCAGCCTCCCCCGGCACGGCTCCTCCTCCACCGGGAGCAAGGGGAGTATTCGGCCGCTGTCAGCGCCACTGACCCCTCGGCCAAAATAGCTCCCAAAGGATGTATTGTGGGGTAATTGCCGTGATAACATCTTGTCTGCTGGGAACCGGGCGGAGACCTCGGACGGCTTATCTTGCCCCCGGCTGGGACAGCTCCGACCACGCCGGGGGACTGCAGAGAGCCATGGGTCACAATGCTATCCCTGATGGGTGGCACGGGGCGTTGCGACACAAGGGGACACCAGCTCAGCTGATGCCCGGCCCGGCGGCTGCGGGCCCGGCCCCGTCTCTCTCCGCGCCGCAGCCTGGAGGGAGGTGACGGGGGTTAATCGCCCACCGCCTCCCCTCTGACCCCTCTGTGGGTTTTTCTCTTGTATGGTCATTTAGCCGTCCCCTGACACAAAAGGGAGCGATTAAACACAGCTCAGGCCCTTCATGCTTTAGTGGATTAATTTGCTGATCCCCCACGGATTAAAGGTCTCGACAGGATCAGCGGGAGCAGCGGGGCAGACCCCGGCGGGAGGAGGCCAGCGATAGTCCCGGGCAAGCCCCAGCCCGCAGCAATCTCCCTCTCCTGGGACCTCGCGGTGTCACCGAGCCGTGTCAGGGTTCAAGGCATCGGAAGCTTGCCTAAATACCGCACCCCCAACCCTCCTGCTCGCGTTGCCGACAGCCGAGGGATGCAGGGTCGCTATCTCACAGCTCGCTCCAGGGAGCAGAGCCTGTTCCTGTGCACCCACCAAAGGCGAATGGGGGCAGCGCGACCGGCTCTTCCAAAGGAAAGGGGGAACCGTGGCCACTTCGGGGGGCTACACCGCAATGAGGGGGGAGCGCCGTTGCCCTCCCCAGGCCTGCGGGAAGCAGAGATTGCATCTGCCTTTAATTACTCCCTCTCTGCATATCAGATGCTCGTGCACCTTCTGCACATGAATGCTGATTAATTGCAGGGTTAGGCTCCGAGGCAGGCCGGACCACATTATTTCTGATGTTTGCTCTTTTCACGAGGAGAATAAATGCCATGAATCCACAGTAATCAGTGGCTTTTAGCTTGTCACTCTTATGACACTCTTTACTTAGACCAGGAAATGGCAAATGTGGTGGAAATAAGAACTTTATTATCTTTTTTTTTTTCTTTTCTCCCAAAAGGGAGGTGTGTGGTGAGGAGGGGGAAGAACGTGGTAGGGGCATCTTGTGGCAAAGGGAGAAAGCAGCTCCATTTTCCTTGTGCCTGAGGAGCTGTGCTCTGCCCTGTTTCATGAGAGAGAGAAGAAAAGCAGCTACACCATCTTTGTGAAGTGAGGACGGGATGGTACATCAGGCTGGGGCTGTCCTGGAGCAGTGGTGGCACCCTGGGCACAGTAGGGCTGGAAGGCAGAGGGGTCTCTGCCACCCTCCATAGCACCTGTGGCCTTGCCTGAAATGCCAAGCTTAGCATGCACTGTATGGCCACATCCCAGGACAGATGTCCACGTGTGCTGCATCCAGTCTTGGAGACACAGCCCAACTAGAGAGGAGCAAGACCGGGGGAAAACCCAGAAGGATCATCTTAGAACGGGTTGGATAGGAAGGGACCTTAGAAATCATCTAGTTCCAGCGCCCTCATTCCAAGGATGCTGGGACTCCTGGCAGGAATGGGCTCTGTGAGATAAACGGCAGCATCCCATAGCATCTCCCACCACTCATCCCTCGCCTTCCCTCGCCAGCAAGCCCCGTTCTCCTCCCAGCAGAGCCCCATCGGCTCAGGTGGGAAACCCTTTCACCGCCTCCCTCAATGCCCTGCTACCGATCTCATTGCCACCGCTTAGCTCAGTGCGAGGGCAGCCCTCGGCTTTTCAGCAGCGAACATCTGGCGTGCGGCGGGCGGCTGGCCACCGGCCGCCCCGGCCCCCTCCCCGCGCCGCCCCGCCGGGGATGCCCGCAATTAGGCAGCCCCGAGCCCCTGGCCGTGGCCCCACTCAGGTGAGTGCCCGGTTCCGAGGATGGAGGTGTAATTAAGGTTAATCAGAGGGCCGGGGGTCAGGGTGGTGGTGGGGAGACCCAGCGAGCCTAATGGCGGCCGTAATTAGGCAGCTGTGGAGAAGCAGTTAATGAAGACGGGAACCGTTAATAAAGCTCTTCCTGAGCAGCCTTCTGGCCCGGGTAATTGAGGGATTTGCAAGTGCCATCTCCCCCTTAACCCTGTAATGAGCAGACCCATGGCAGCCCGCGTTAACCCTTCCAGGGACAGAGGCGGTGGCGGTGGGGCCATCGGCCGCTTTGCGGGGATGTGCCAGCAGGGCTGGGGTCGTGGGATGTGGGTTTGAGCATCTCTCCTTGCCACCGGGTCCCCAGGGCTTCCTCTGCCCTGTGGCTTCCCTGGGAGCCCTTTGAGCCATGCTCAAAGCGGCTGGCAGAGACTTTTCTCGCAGATGCTGTGGTTTCCCACGCCTGCCTCGGCATTATGCAATCCCCCCCCAGCCCTCGCCGCCCCCCCGGCCCCACCACCCACCAGCGCCGGGATGTCATCATCAGCCCAGGCCCTGGGAACCCACATTGTTAGCTTAGTAAATAGAGAAATCCCCACTCAAGCATTGCAAATGAGGGCAGAGGGGGAGCTGGGGAACCGCGCCGGCCACGGCGGGCCGCAGGGTCTCTCCCCTCTCTCTCTCTCTTTGAGTTGTCAGATGAATTCAGTGGTTAACAAAGAGCAAGGGAGGGAGCTGAGCTGCCGTCGCAGCTGGGCAGGGCGATAAGAGGAGGCAGGACTGCAATACCACCACTCCAGCGAGCAGCTTCGGCCCTGCAATACCTGCTGCAGGTGGGCAGGAGCCTGGTGTACCCCCGAGGCTGTGCTGGCCGTGTACCTGAGCATCAGTAACTCTGCACCCTGAGGCTTGTACTGCAACAGGGGGTGACGTTCCAGGGAGTGAGACAGCTGGGGAAAAGCAGAGGGGCCGGGGACACATCCCATCCTTACTTTGCTTCTCTTGCTGCTGGTTGTACCTTCATGGCTGCAATTTCCCAGGGAGTCCTGGGGACCCTGCTGAGCTATGGGGACCCTGCTGAGCTGTAGGGACCCACAGTACCCAAACACTTGTGAGCATCCTGAATGTGTCAGTAAGGAAGTGAGACAGATCAAAAGACACAGAAATGCTTTTATTTTGATCTGAAATAGAAAACAAGCACAAAGAGGCTGTTTTTACAGAGTGGTGATTCTGCTTCTCTGAATGGGGCATGAAAATTACTCAGTGAGTGGAGCATCCAGTGACCAGTGCCAGCTCTGGCAGCTGTGATGCTACTTTGGCTGTAACACAGTAAAGACTCTCTTGGCCCTACCAGGAGTTTTCCTTCATCTCTTAGCGGGGATCCTCCTGTTTCCCTCTAGTTCTGGGTTTCTGCACATGCAGGGAGGTGTTGAGAAGGGCACACCTCCCTGTGCAAGGTGCACAATGGCTGAGAGCTGCTGTACAAGTACATCCCACTTGTCATTAGTGTCTGGAGCCAGACTCCACGCTGACATCACTGCCTACCTGACTGCCTTGCAGCAGGTAGGGCAACTGGCAGGGTGGAGGTCTTTAAAATCTTTATTAAGATGTGGAGCTGTGGGTGTCCTTGACTTAGCCCAGAGCTGGAGAAGGTTGTGGTAATGTCTTGGGAGCTTTGCAGACTTTCTGGTGCAGTGAGTGGCGGTGCCGTTCCTGATGCCGAGCAGTGCTTGAGGTCCCACTGTCACCATGCCCACAGAGCTGCTGTCCACAGGAATCCCAAGGGTTGGCACAGCTGGAGGGTCAGGAGGAGCCATGAGCCCCTGGCTGGGACCGGACACCCAGAGGTGAGGGGGTGAGATGGAAGCACAGCTTCAGGGCTGTTCTCTCTCCTGACAAAAAGCTTTTGCTTTTTTCTGCATCTGTCACTGGATGGTCAGGGAACTCTGCCTAGAGGCCATGTTTTTCGAGGCCATGGTGACTTGTGAGGGGTTGGAAGATCTCGGTCTTTGGTTTCTAATGCTAACCTGGCTTCATTGAACTGTTCTGTTAAACTCTTCAAATTGTGTGTTTCTATTTTAATAACATGGTGAGGTTAAAATTAAAAAAAACGCCTTTCTGCAAGCGATAGCAAAAATGTTTCACTCTGTATCTCTGCCCCTGGTTTCTGCTGGTGCAGCTGGACTAACAGTGGATTCAGAAGCCTGGAGGGGCCCCTGAATTCCTGCCAGGGGGTTTGTCAGAGCACTGTCAGCTTGGTCACCGTAGTAACTTGTGCCATTGGCTTACCAGGACCAAATCCTTACCCCAGCATAAGCAAGGGTAACTGCTATTGCAATGAGGCAGCCAGAGGCAGAGCTGCTCTGATCCTGTACTGGGAGTGAACCCCACACTCTACCCTGTTTCAAGGGTTACAACTGGCATGTGGCACCACTGTACCAAGGGTGCCAACCCTGTGCCTGTCCCCAGGCAGGAACAGACAGGTGGGGAGCACACTAGCCCTTATCTTCAGGGCTTTCCAGGATGTCACGTGGTGCCGAAGCCTGAGGCTTGCTCACATTCCGACCTCTCCCCAAATCTCTTGGGCCTGGCTTAGGTCATCCTCTCCCACCAGATTTACTGCTGGTTATACTGGGGGGATTGGAAGAAGCCAAAACTTGCCCCCCCTAAGACAAACCCAAAAAGTGGACAGAAGTTTGTCCTACCCTGTACAACAGTGTGTGTGGAGGGGTGGGAAAGAAGATGCTGTGATGAGAGAGCAGCTCTCGGGTATTTAGGGTGGCCTTTTCTTTTTTTGAGGAGAGTGAATTCCTATTAAATCATAGATAAATAAAGGGGAGAAAAAGACTCAGAGGAAACCAAGTGGTCTTCAGTACCTGGTACCTGCTGGTGTTGAGCATCTCCAACATGACCTGGTAACAAATATATCCTCCCACCAATTATTTACCAGAAAACCTGCTTTGGCAGATCCCACATCAAATAAAACACATAGATTTTTCATGAGAAGGTTTATTTATTTTTTTTGGCTCTGTGTTCCATAAAACACATTTACTCAGTCACATACAAAATACATTTATCCAGTTTCTTTAAAACAAACAAAATAACCTCTCCTCTCCATCTGGCCCCTCTCTCTGCTCCTTTCTAGCCTGGTCTGCTTCCCTATTCCTCGCAATATGGAACATGACAGGGTATTTTCAATGCTATTTTTGTCCGTTGTGTCATAGCTTATATTTAAAATAGCATTTAAATCTGCCAAGTAGTGCGGTGTTTTAAACTGCTGTCAGACTGAATTTCTCCTCCTACATACCGCAGATTTCAGCTACGAGTTAAAGACAGCTGAGGGAAGCTTTTGAGGAAGGGGGGAGGTGGAGGTGGTTGGGGACCAGATTGTCTGCAGGTGTGAGGACAGTCAAAGGATATTAATAGGGTAAAGGGAGGCTAGAGGGGGGACACAGCCCCAAAGAAGACCAGGGAAGGTGCACATGGGAGTGAAATTGCCTTCCCAAAGGCAGGTCTCACTTGGGACAAAAGGCTGTGATGGTGGGACCAGGCATGTGCACCCAGAAGCTGTGAAAGTAGGAGGTCCCTGGTCTAAGGGCAAAATGAGTCCCCCTACTAGGGGGCATTTGCTCTGCATTTGCTCACCTTGCAGGTCCCAAAAATAGGGTTGACTGAGCCTTTAGTGAGAGAGCAGAGGAGGAGGTTGTGCTGCCTTGCTTGCATTGGGGTTTATTCTCCCTTTCTTCATCATTTATTTTTTGGGACACAGCTGACATCTGGAAAGCCCTGTGGTGAAGTAGTACAATCACGTCCATGGTCAATCCCTGGGAAAGGACCCGTTCCCCCTGTTAATGCCTGTGGGGATCTAAAAGTCTGCTGGTCCGTGCCTTTCCTACCATGAATAAATATAACAGACATCCCCAGCAGAGCTGGCTTGGTTGCAATCACATTAGAAACATCAGCCTAACCTCTCCAATTTGGCCAATTCAAACCCCCATGATCCCTCTGAAATCATCTCCCACTGGAGAAGGTGCTCCAGAAATGAGTCTTCTCTCACATCCGAGCCCAAACCACCTTTGCTTCCTATGTTCAACCTTCAGCCCTTTACTGTAGGTGTTGTTGTGCTCCCTTGGTGGCCAGTTGTCCCCTTCACATGTCCCACTCTACCCACGGAAACATCCCAGCAGCAGGATGGGTCCTGAGTGATATCTCCCATCCTCTCCCCCTTTGCTCTGCTCTGCCCCATGATCATCCTGCTTGCATGTCTGTGTCATAACAAGATGCATCACGTCATTTTGCTCCCAGTTCCTGGCACACAAACAGCACAGGGATTCCCAGGCTGTGGTCCCTGTCACTGCAGTCTCTGCCACCTTCCTTCCTTTTCCACTTGTCTGGGCTCAACTCCTTTCATGGTAATTGTGGATAGCACAGGAAGGACCAATGCAGGTGGGAGCAGCCTCATGCCAAGCCTGGTGGGCATGAGTCACCACCCTGCTGCAGAGGAGTTCAATATCTCTTCTTCCCCACGTCATTTTTGGCTGCAGTGGAGGTCTGGTGCAGCCCCACCAGAGCAGCTGATGTTCAGGAGGCGTCTCCTCCTGCACCCCTCTCTGCTGTAAGAGCTCCAGAGACAAGTAGTGTGAGGTCTCTCTGAGCACCTTGCACAGCCCTGCACCTTCCCCAGTGCCAAGGGGACCACACCAGGCCCTGATGGCCACTCGATCCTCTCCAGTGCCTGTAGGGATGGATGTTTCATGGTGTGCCCCCAGCCTGCAGGTGCCCCCCACTTTCCAAAGGGGGTTTGGATTTCTCTCCTGCAGCTGTCCAAGGCTCATTTCTTGCTCCATCTCTGCTGGTGTTTCACCCTCTCCTGGGACACGTGTGCCTGCCGTTGATATCTCCTACTCATCCTCTTCTGTCAACACCACCTAAGGAAGGGACAGATTTAATTTTTAGAAATGTGTTCTCTGTGTCAATAACTCCCCCTCGTCCTCTTCTGGGTGCTAGGGGTATCTGCTCACCCATCTTCTCCTTCCTGCTCCTCATGCAGATTTCACCCCTCTCTCCACCCTCTCTCCTTCACCTTTTTCACTTCTACCTGGAGTTTTCCATCTCTCACCCTTGTTCCCAGAGAGAGAGGTGACCCTTCCCACTTGCTATGTCATGCAGTGCCACATTCCTCGACTCATCCCTGTGCCAGCCCCAAAAACAGCTCTGCCACCCCTGGGACAGGATAGCAGAGGCATCTCCATTACACCCTACGGCTTGCTGGGCTAAGGCAGGACTAGCGTCAGGATCTCTTCCTTTGGGATCACCTCACACCTCCAGTTTGTTCCCATTCCCCAGCTCAGTTCAGGATAGGATGATGCACCATGAGTGGGGGTGCCTAGTTGGGTTTGGTTATTTGTTCCCCCAAAAGGCAAGGCTAGGGAAGGGGTACGGCGGGCTCCACGATTTCATCGTGGCGCGTTAATCAGCCGCATTAAAATTCCGAGACAGCTCCTGCCAAAGTGGCTGCGCGCCGTGCAAGGTGGCTGGGAAACGCCGGGAGCCGTGACAGGCAGGCGCAGGCAGACAAAGAGCTCGCTCCGTCACTCCGGGTCTGCTCCGGGAGGAGAAAACCAACACACGCGCACACACACACACACACACACACACTCCCCTCCACGCCACCACACAGCCCCACGCCGCCCGGCCACGCGGATGCCACCAGAGCCCACGGTGAGCAAGCGTGCAATGACCAGCGAGCCTGCCAGCATCCCAGCACCATCCCAGGGGGGATGTTTAAGCTGGTTGAGCAACCCGACTGACCCCACGGGTTTGCATGGTACCCATCACGGGGGACTGGCGTGTCACGGTGATGGGACCACCCCCTGCTCAGCCCCCGGCATCCCCTCCCTGCGTGCGTGGGGAGCGTGTGTCCCCGTGGGGCGTGAGCCCCCAGGACGAGGGTCCCCCCAAGCCTCACCAGAGCCCCTGCCAGCTGTAGTAATGCGTTTTGCCACAGGGTGCCACTATGGCAAAGCTGTAAGGCCGCCGGGCCCTCAGCCCTGTTGTGTAAGAATACCTGGCGTTACCCGTGTTACTCGTGGTTTCCTTCTTCCCCTCGGTTCCCTTCTCTCCCCATGCCCCCCGCAAGGAAACTGCGTCAAGAGCCCCCCAAATATTCATCCAAAGGGGACAGTGCTGCCAGGCGACCCCTGTGCTGCGGGACAGAAGAGGGGATGCTGGATCCCCTCTGAGTTGTCCTGAGAATGACACAGTGAGGACTGACACATCAACATGGCATTGCTCTGTCTCCAGCAGACCTTGCAGAGAGAAGAGACTCTGGAGGCTCTGTGGGACCATGTGCAGTGCCAGTGAGTGAGGGGGGTGCTGTGTAACCCAGATGTCCAGAAACAATGTGCCAACCCCACTCCTCTCCTGCATCTGGGGTGCTGGGCTCTGGGGATGTGGCTCCCCAATAAAGGGGGTCTGGCTCCATTGCTAGGAAGCAAGTAAAGGGCCTGGAGAGGCTACAACCATTTATCTCCTCCAGCTTTTCTGCAAGGATAGATCTGGCCAGACCTGTCCTCTCGCAGTTGGGCCTGTGAACTGCCTGCAGGAAAGGGGATGCTGCAACAGGGGCACCCCATCCCACCCCAAATAGCCAGCACTCTGGGAACAAGCAGACTAGGTCCTGCACCCTAAGTTTCTCACCTCCCTGGCACACTCCAGCCCCTTTCCTGCCTCTCCCCAAAGATGAGGAGATGCCACAGGGCAGCTCAGCCCTGCACCCATGCGAGGGGGACAGCACAGCTCAGCCCAGGGAATGGAGCTGATGAGAGCTACCCAGGATCAGTACACGAACATGAGATTTTTTAGGGTGAAGAGTGCTCTGCAAATGGCAGGCGGTGGGATCCTGTGTGCTGCATCTGCCGCGGGCGGAGAGAGAAAGAAGATTCGCTTCTTCCCTTGCTAATAAAGTCTGGCTGAAATGACACAGTATAATCAGTGTTTACCTGGGAGTTTACATATGGTTTGTTGTAATTATAGTTTCAATTCCTGCTTTTGCATTTTTTTTTTATTTTTTTTTTCCTAACATCTATTTTTCAATCAGTAAAAGTAAATACTATTTTCAGCCCAATGTAATTCTTCCACTCCCGTGGCCACAAACACAGCGAGGAGAGCGATTCCATTTGCGCGCTGTGCAATTGAGCAGAGAGAGGAGCCCGGCGGCTGTGGGGCATCAGCGAAGCCACGGCCGAGCAGGGACGTGGGGATGAGGGGACGAGACTGCCCTCCCCACCACCAGTCCCCCAGGGTCTCCACCCCACCTGGCAGGGCTACCTTTGCCGGTAAAAACCAGCACCAGGCCCAGACACTGCTTCCCATCGCATCGGCATCGTTAAAACCCTAAAGCTGCCTGGTCGGAGGCAGCAGGGAAGGGATAAGAGCCATTAGGTGAAGCATCATTTTTTTCAGGGCTGGCAAAGCTTTGTTCCAGCTTGGGGACTGAGTTGGCACTAAAAGCACTGTGATCCTCGAGATTTAATTTCAACCCCCTCCATTTTTGTGTGTGTGATTTATAACAAATCAAGGATGCTGGTGTCAGGTCCCCTTCTTCACCCAACTATTGTCACACACACACACACGCTGATTAAAACCACCCGGCCCCTGCCGGTTCCTCCTTGTCCATCCATCAGATGCTCTGGGGACAAACTTAGACATCCCACTCCTGGCCCACACCTCCACCCATGCATGTTCTGGTGCCCTGGGTTTTAAGCCAATATCGGGTATTAATTTGGTTTGCTCATATGCACATTAAATATATACAAATAAGTTTATTTTTGTCGTAACCTAAATCCTTGTCGAAATAATCAGGAGCTCTGTCTCAGGGAGGAATTGGGCATTGTTTGGATGCAGAATAAACATGTTGCCCTAGAGACACACAGAGGGTTTCTGCCTCGGCCACTCCAGTTGAATATTTGCTGGTTCAGACACCGTCTGAACTCGGTGCCAAGCAGAGCTGCTGCTGGACGCCAGTGGGCAGCTGGGCAATGGTGTCGAGAAGGGGATTGAGGAGGGGACCCTTCTCCTGCTGACAGGGTCTCAGCCCCCCAGGGGAATCAAGCTGAGGCCAGCAGCCCTGCCTGCACCCCACTACACCCTAGCATCCTTATCATCCTCATTTTGGGGTTAAAAAATAGGTGATGAGGGTGCTTCTCCTGGAGCTGTGTCCTCGGCCTCCACACTCCCACATGCCCTGCTGCCAGCTGGAGAAAATTTTTGTTTTTAACCATCCCCAAAAAGGGCTGTTTTCTCAACAACAGCACAAGGTAGCCTGAATATCCCAGGGACCAAAGGGGAATGTTTCAGAGAGGGGTTTGGGAGTGGACCCTTGCCCCCAAGACCCCAGCACAGCATGCAGGGAGCTGGGGCTGTGGCTGTGCGGGAGCGGAGCCTCCCTACAGCAGCCAGGGCTCCCCGGGCGTTTGGAGTTTGGCTGCACCAAAAAACGTCTGTCCCAAAGCACCGGCAGCGTTGGCCGATGAATTCCAGGGGGGCTGAGTTTGGGTTTTCCAAAGGTAGGAGGAAGGAGGGGGAATATTTGCTGGGTCAAGAAAAACATCCCTCTCCCACCGCTGCCTGACACTGAAAAGAAAATTAAAACCCAAGCAGTTTTAAAAAGATAAAATAAAACATTGTTTTATCTCTCACTTCCACAAAAAAAAAATCTCTTCTCACCAATCTCAAGCACGAATATATTTTGTTAGTACGTCTCTTGAAAGCCTACCACACTCAACCTTTTTCTCCCCAAATTAAGAATGAGCTGGTTTAAACTCTCACCCAAAATATTTATTGCAAGGAACAAAGATATTGGAATTGTGTCTAGCATTGGATTTCAATTCTGCCTTTCAGGCTTTTATCTTTTCAATCCAAATTTCAGTGACAATAATCCAATTTTGATTGACATTAAAATTATTTATTGTCACATTGTAGCTGTTTAATAAATTGTGCCTGCTTTATTTTTTGGCTTATAAATACTGTATCTTTACTACCTTGGTGCTTAATTCAAGGGAAGAAACCACTTCTGAAGGCAGGCAGCAAGAGTCTTAGCCCAGGCAAGATATAAAAATACCCTTTTACACACATGAACCTGAAGAAAGAGCTGATTCCACCTTTTTACTAATTTATATATTTTAAGTCTCTCTGGTTTATACAATTTTGCTTTATTTTCCAATGGCAAAATATGCTCCCATGAGCTACATGTAAAATAAAGATTATTTTAATCTCCTTTCAGATACAGAACAATTATTTGTCAGGAACATTTAAAAAATCAGGAAAACAATTCATGACATTTTCGTGATCCAGATTTGAGAGATTTTTCACCATTCTGGGAGTGAGTTCATAAAAAAAAAAAAAAAAAAAAAAAGAAAAAAATTAAAACAAAGCCAGGCGACATCCATTTCAGAGTGCCATTAAAATCTGGGTCGCGTTGCAAATGATTTTCTTTTTTTTTTTTTAATTTCCACAAATTACTGAAAGTTAAAAGAACCATCATCCCATTTTACTATTGAAAAAAAAAAGAAAAAAAGAGAGAGAGATGGAAAATTAAAAAATAACATAGAAAAATGTAGCCGTTTTAGAATAAACCAAAAGCAGTTCCTTGGTAGAAATATTTCCCTGGGTGGAAGATTTCAAGCCTGTGTCCCAGAGATGCATTTTGCTGGTGGGGGAACTGCCTTTTTGCACTGGGTACCAGGGGTTGCTGAGGGGTGCGGGAGGATGCCAGTGCCCAGGGATGCTCTAGGGACACAGCATCTCACTCCATGCTTGCAGCAGGCAGAGGAGGCTTTTTACCCACTGTGTAAATGCCCTGAAAACCCTTTTGGGGGGAGCCTGTTGGCAGATAAAGGAGGCGTCTGCCAGGAGAGAGTGGGTTTGT